AAAATATTTTAATATATGAACTGTATATAATTTTGATGTACTCCATAGTGTAAAAAGAGAGAGATAGAGATCCAACATAAACTAATAAAATTTGGTGAGTAAATTTCCCATGGAGGCTTTGAGTACATCTGCTGTTTTTGATGGAAATTAAACAGGGATCATGAACTATAGTGACCTTGTAAGACTACATAAATGTATGAAGTTCTCGAAAAGTATACATTAAATATGTGTGTATATGTATGTTCATAAGCATATGCATACATAAATGTAAGCGTACATTTAAAACTACATTCTGATAGGAGAGAAAACTTGTTTTTTACTACTTGGTTTCACTAAAAGAATGAAAACAAAGAAAATAAATTTAAAGTTAGTCATTAGTACTAAAATTTGAATATACAGAGAGAAATTAGGCTATGTGGGTATGAAGTAATATAGATATACTGGGGCTAAGTAGAAGATCTTAATGCAAAATATGAACCAAAGGTTTAAAGAGATGAATTGTTTGGAGAAGTTAGCACAGGATATTGGTTTGAAAAGAAAGGCAGAACAATGAAGTTGTAGCCACAGAACCAAGAATTTGCTATGAGTGAATGTAGGGCAAATGGCCACAGGGAATAATGATTTTGTTATGTATCTGGGAAACTATCCCAGAAATCCAGCCAGAAACACTCCACTCCTTTAAGTCCCAGTTTTCTATTACAGATGGCTAAGTAGAATAAGTATGACTCAGAAGGACGAAAAGTACATGATATTTATACACAGAATGCAGCTTTGAAATGATATGTGCATATATAAACAAGTAAACTCATTTTACTAATGTTACCCAATCAGCTTGAAAATTAAAGGTGTAGGTTGTGACTATCTTGTATAGTAACAACAAATTAAGAGTAAAATATTGATGAATTGTTTGTGTTCTTAAAAGTTTTAGCAACTAATTTCTAAGAAGGTGACAGTTGCAATTTGGCCACCAGCCCTTAATATGTGGGTCATTTCCATTCAAGGAAATTAAGAGAACCACAAAAGGAACAATGCTGTTTTGATTTAACTTATGGAGAAATGCCTTAACTTCAACATCCATGAAGAATATAACCAGACTGAAACTTCTGTTCAGCTATCTCACACTATTCAAACATTTCCTCTGGTACATGCACTGACACAGAGTTCAGAATTCAGGAAAACTGGCATGTGACCAAAAACTTTTCAAAAAATTTTCCTTAAAAATTTGTTTTAATGATTCAAAGATAAAAGGATTGGAGAAAATGTGCATAGCATTAAATTTATCTTTAAAATATCTCACTATTTATGGACAAAAACTTTCTCATAGTATATCTAATAGCCGCTATAGTTACAACCTTTTAAAACAAGCATCATTGCTGTTCCATTCTAACAATAATAAGCATATGCATGAAGAATGGTATTTACCCAATGTTTTCTAGGCTATGTACACACTCAACAGCTTAGTTTATGCTCAGGCAAGCTATCTCATAAGGCAGCACCACTAAATTTACAGAACTGTCTCCTAGGGATTTACTGCTCCTTGATTTCTAATAATGTGGGTAAAGATGTGCCAAATGATAATATTAACAGAAAAGATGCTGGCAAACACACCCTTAGAAATTCTTTTGAGGAAGGACTTACTTGTGCTCGAAAATAATACAGGTCAAATAGGTGCTAAGTCAACATTGCATACAATATTTATTTATTTATTTGGAAGCATTTAAAAAGGCAAATGGCGGGTATTTATATCCCTCTTTTAAAAAATACATGTGGATAAAATAAGAGATGGGGACTTGTTACCATGACCTCATTCCAGCTGCCTCTTAGCTCTGGGTCTCCATGACAAGAATTCAGATGACTCCCACAGAGCACAGTGTAGAAGTCAGACACAACATATTACTGAAGAGTGTGAAGCATTCTATACAGTAAGCATGGGCAGAGGCCAGAAGGCCACTGTAAACGAAAGCTCTATCAGAGAGACCACTGTGCTGACCCATATGTTAAGTAGGGCTTTGCTTGCTTCAACTTTCTGGAACAGCTTCTCAGAGGTATTTTCCTGTGTAGGTGATTGACAGGTCCATTTTGATGAACTCTTAAGGGTGGTGGTAGCAATGTTATTGAGGTAATAGATAGAAATAATATAGAGAGGCAGAGTAAATTATGGGAGCACAGGAAATTAAAAAAAAAAATGCCCCTCCTCTGGAGTCTGCTTGAAGCATCTCACCAGCTGACAGTTAAGGATTCCAGCATAACTAACATTCACTGTGATGTCGGCAGACATAGAAAAAAAATATTCTTCTTAAAACTGTAAAAGAACAATAGCAAAAAAGCCCCAGCAGATTGAACACATAAGACCTCAGGTATGTCCTCACTCTTGACATTTTATGGAGGTCTCACAAACAAGACTTGGTTTAGGTAAAGTTGCCCTAACTTTCTGCAACCCTGCAAGCTGTTTTATATTGTCCGTTGCCATCGTACCCAAGCCTCCACAAGAATTACCTTTAATCTCATTGGAATTCCTTAGTGAGCCTTTAAAAATAATTGAAAACCCAGCCCAACATGTACATGGGGCTACTGTAAAGACAAGGAAGTATGACTCTCCTGAGAAGTGTACACCCAAGTCCTCAGATGAGGTTTACCCTTTCCCTAAGTCCCATTCATTTTTATTAATGCTTAAAGCATACGTTTAAAAAGCCTTTTCATACACTTCAAGTGGACTTTGTATTAGATCTTATTTTAAAAAACTCTTCCTCGTAGCAAAGTCAAGGATCCAGCTAAGGCTGAGTGGAGGTTTCTGTAAAAAAAATTCTCCAGGCTGCTAGTGGTAGCAGCATGGAGCTGTGTTTCCTCCCTCTGCCAGACAGTACTCCTTTACTCTTTATCAGAAAGTCTCCAGTATTTTTAAGATGTTTTAAGCAGTCTGTACAGGATGGTATTTCTCCAGTCTCAGGCTAAAAAACATTCTTTGATTAATAATGAATCAACGTTTTTGTACATCCTGTGAACTATGTGAGAAGGGTTTGTCCTCAGTGATCATCAAGGCTGCTATAATCTAACTACCAAATTGAAAATTGCCATAGTGATATGTAATATGTTGGGAAGGTGTGGTGGTACATAACCTCAGCACTCTAGAAAGATCGGCGGGGAAAGAAGACTGGCTTCAAGTTCTAGGCCAGCCTGGGTATATAGGGGGTTTCAAGGCAGCCAGTGGGACACAATGAACCCTTTCTAAAAAGAATCAATACAGTGTTTACCAAGTTCACCACTGGTGTGATTTAATCAGGTCCCATTGTTGGGAATTTAGTTTATGTGCCTGGGTGGACTTTCTAGACTAAGGGGGTGAAGATTTTAAATAACCTTAAAACATTCTGCTTGTATGGAAGAAAACTGCTCTCACCAAATATGAGTAACCATGGTCTAAAACCAAAGACTCAGCCTATTCTACATACCATGTCCTAATGCGTTAATGATTTCATTAAGTTACAGATAAGATGTTCATAAATCAAGCTACTTTTAAAATACAAGCAAAGCAGTTTAGAAAGGCAGGCAACTGGAGAGCTCCTTACCGGGTCGCGTTGTTGACTTTTTCAAGCAAATAAGCAATAACTTCAGCACAATTAATGGATGCTTAAGGCTGCCACTCCTTTTTAGCCATAAAATCTGTTAATTTTCTAGGAATCTCACCAAAACCCCACTTAGAAAAAAATTGCTAAACCCTTTGAGCAACCCAGCTGCTCCTCGTTCCAATTTATCAGATTATAATTCCATCCAGACATCTTTTAACCACATTGTATTTCTCGAATATCCAAAAGAAAAAATTAGCAACCTTTGAAGAAAACGCTTGAAAACCACGAAAATGGTATATGTCCACAGTAGCCTCAACTCACTGTGAGTTATGACTGGGCAGTGGGTAGTTGAGTAGGGAGTGGGGGTCTTCAGGGTACTCCTGTAGCTTCTCATCTGATCAAGGGCATTGGGAGAGACACCCTATTGCATGCACAGAATAATGTGACCTTAAAGTACACAATCAAAACGAGATCAAAGAAAGACTGGGGGCGGGAGGGGGACGTTCTCAATGGCAGGGATTTCTGAATGAAAATTCAACAATGCAATTCGTGCACCTCGCTGCCAGAGATGTGCACCAACCAGCTCAGGGAGGAAGGAAGTCTTGTGGCTGCCACTCTAGAATTGGGGACAAGGCAGGCCGCGGAAAACTGGGGCGGCGCCCAATTTTCCCCTTCACAAAAGGAATCATTCGTAAGCCATGTGCACTTAGCACTGTTTCTAAACTTCCCAGTCTGGAAAACCAGTGAGTGACAAAACCAGTAGAACCCACATCGGTGAAGACTTCCCTTCCAGGCGCCAGGCTTGAGAAAGGGCGCATGCGTCGTGCCTGGTCTTTCTCTCCCACCCCCCCACCCACCCCCGGGGTGCTCCGCCCCCGTATTCCAGGGTCGAAGTGCGCAGGCGCACGCTCAGGCTTCCGCGGCGCCGCGCTCCGCCGGTGCGGTTGTTGTCCTGCCCCTCCCCCGCCCTGCTCGCCGGCTCTCCGCCCGGCGCTCCGCCCCGCAGCACCGGGACCGGGGACATCGTGACCCCGGCCTGCGGCCCGCCCGCGCCGGAGCATCCCGAGACCGCGCTGCGCTCCGCGTGCGGGTGAGCGACCCGGACCCTGGGGCCCCGAGCGGTGGGGGAGGCCGCGGCGCGCCGGGTGCGGGGCTGTCACCGCGGGCCCTGGCCTCCCGCCTGGCTCGGCTGGGGCGGCGCCAGGGCCCTTGATCCGAGCGGCCCAGTGGCTCTGGGGTTGCCCCGCTCTACTTGCAAGGTCCCTGGGATGTTGCTATCTTCCGGGGCTTTGCTCGTTGTCGCCTTTTGAAAGGCGCTAATCCCCTTCCCTTCCCTCCCCAGACCTTCAGGACTGAGCCCGCGTCTGATGACACATCTCAGTTGGTTGCAGTGCTGTGTTTAGCAACCCCCTCCCCTGTTTCCAGACCACCCGAGAACCGTGTTGAGTTCACAAGACCGTGACGTAAACACTGAGCCCAGGGGGGAGGCGAAGGGGACCTTGCACTCCTTTTCAAACCTCAAGTAAGTTTCCAAAATAACAGTAGTTGCACTTGTCAGTTCTCTCAAGGAAAGCTGGACAGGAAGCCTAGGATTCCAGTAACAACTAAATCTGCTGCGTGTCCAAACCTGTTTTCAACAGAGTATGTCTAGGTTGCTGTGGATCTAGAATAGAACCACTGGGCTATCTTCTGCCTCTTGCCCTAAGAGCTCCTTCAGTGGGACACAGTTTCCACCCCTTTTGTCTAACAGAGCTAAAAGAGTGTGGTGTACCCCCTGCCTTCTGCTGAGGCCAGCTGATCCCAAAGCACCCAGTGTTCTGCATAGCTTCCAAGGTCACAGTGTGTGGGAACAGTGATGATTAAAATTCATACTTGTGCACCTGTGGCTGGCAAGTGCTGGTTTGGCTTTTGTTTGTTGTCATTGAGCCATGATAAGATACTGCTTGTTTGGAAATCACAGTCCTTGATATATTTGAGCTTAGGTAGACAGTGTGTACATAGAACTTTTGAAAGTATTTTTATTAGTCTTGTATACTACTCAAGATTTTTATTTAATATCGCTGACTATACTGTGAGTGAATTCAGCAAATAGGGTACAAAGTTTGAAAAGCAAAATTTCCTTCATATGGGGTGACTTGAATTATTTGGTGTTGGTTTTATTTGTTAAAGAAAATAAAAGTAATATCTAATGATTGCGTAATGATACTTAGAAACTGATCAGTGAGGTATGATTAACCCTAGGAAGAAAGGAATTGCACCATTTAAAAATTTGTTGTCCATTTCTATTAATATTTTCTCAGAAAACAGGCATGTTATATGACTTTTCATGTTCTTTTCCCTCAGGAAATCACAGGGCTTTATTGTATTGCACAACCTATCCGAGCGCTTATTTCCATGTGACTGCTATACTAATTATTCTTATTTGGACTGTAAGCTTCTTTTATTTAAGCTGTCACCCCGAAACTGTGACATTAACATATGATGTTGTTCCATTGTATGGAAAATTATGTTTAATATTTTTGAATATTTGCTTCCTAATTTAACTGCCAGACTGCTACAGAAAAAAAATATACATGGTGATTCAGAGGTTTTCTTCTTGTTGTAAATATTTACTACTGTGATTTGAAGTAAAATTTTAAGTTTGGAACTTAAAACAGTATGAATTATAAATGAGTAAAATGCCACTTTGAAATTAACTGGTGATAAGCATATTGGTTGTAATGAGCCAACTGGTTTCTAGTTAAAACGTGTTTTTGTTTTTCCTATAAAAAAACTTAGAGCACAAATGTCTTCTGAGGAACACTAAGAAGGTCTGTCTAAACTGTAAACTTTTGCCAAGTGTTACCATTTTGACCTTATTTTCATCACTGAGATTTCATTTCATAGTATTTTGTTAGAAACACACTGCTGAGTATTTCTGAGAGAGAGAGAGAGAGAGATAACATAAAAGAGGGAGCCATTATTAGTTTGAAGGGAAAACTGAACCTAAAGAAAGGTCTAGAAACCTACAAGACTGCCGTCAACTAACCATTTGAGCAACCATGGAAAGGCTACCATAAATGCCTTTCCCTCATAGTGAGATCAACAACTAACTTATCCATCATCATGGAGCCCTCATCTAGTACCTGCTGAAAACAGAAGCAAACACCTATAACTAAACACTGAGTCGAACTAGAATCCAGATGCAGAGGGAGAGGACAAGACCAGACTACAGAAACACATAGAGACAGGTGACCTGAACAAGGAGGAGCTAACGGCCCCCAGACTGATTGCTGGGAATCCAGCATGGGGCTGACTCAGGCTCCCCTGAATATGGGTCTCAGCTAGAAGGACTGAGCAGTCTAAGGGAACTCATACAATGGAACCAGGATGTATTCCTGGTTCACAAAAGGACCTGACACATCCCCCATGGAGGGATACTGCCTTAACCTAGAGACAGGAGAGAAGTCCTAGACCCTGCTTCAAAAAGACTTGACAGATTTACATGATCCCACCTGGATGGCATTGCCCTACATGTGGAATTGGGGTGGGGGGATGGGAGGGGACACTCAGGGTGCATGTGAGGGGGCAGAGAGGGTAAGAGGGAGGGAAGAAGGAAGCGAGGGAGAGGAGAGGGAACTGGGATCGACGTGTAAAATTAAAAAAAAAAAAAAAAAAAAAAAAAAAAAAAAAGAAATGCACTTCTGGGTCCTGGCAAATGGTTCCCTTGTGTCACATTTTGATAGAATATAATTTTAATCCTACAAGTAATTTACACTTACTTAACCCTGTAAATATCCCATGAGATTACTTTGCATCTGAATTTACTGTCAGATTTTTCTTTTTCATTAGACATGGGAAAGTCTCTTTCTCATCTACCTTTGCATTCCAATAAAGAAGATGGTTATGATGGGGTCACATCGACAGACAACATGAGGAATGGTCTGGTTAACAACGAAGTGCATAATGAAGATGGAAGAAATGGAGATGTCTCTCAGTTTCCATATGTGGAATTTACTGGAAGAGATAGTGTCACTTGTCCCACTTGCCAAGGAACAGGAAGAATTCCTAGGGGTATGTTTTACTCAATAGATTCTCCTCTTATAAAAGTATCCCAAACATTTGCTCAAACAATGTAAAACCTATAGTTGTAAGCAATCCTATTCCCAACAATTCAAAGTTAAAACCTACCAATTTTGTTTAGTCAGAAAGACACAAAAGCAAACAATTAGTAATGTTTCTAAAGCAGTTGGTATACATGACTTCAGTACACCTAGTATTTTTCATGTTTGTCTGCGATAATAGTCACTATACACTGTCATTTCCAATGAGGATTTTAGTCCCTTTTTGACACTATTAGAAGCATTTTCACAGTCATTTTGCCATATCAAATGTTAGTAGTTATATGATTCAGTAACTCATTATCTAAATAATAAGTAGCTTATGTCCCAATTAGATATTTCTTAAAGGAAATGCATGATTTATAAAGAAAAACCAAGTAAGGGGAAAAAAAGTGAACTCGTGATTTGTCATGGGGAAGACAAAAGGAAATAGTCCTCTCCCTCCTATTTGAGTTGCCTTGATAGAAAGGAAAAACAATAGTGTGTTGTGGTTTCTTCTCTCCATGGTAAAAGTCAGTAGTTGACCCTGGAGAGACCTAAAGAAGAACAGAGTGACTGCTTGAGGAAGTCCACAGCCCCTGAAAAGTGCCTTGCATTAATTGGGGCTTATTGCATAGCCTACTGAATGGTGTTTTTATCCTTCTGGAGACAGTAGCTGCTTAAGAATAAAAGAAGTACTGTAGTTGAAGAAATTCATACACCATGTGATAGGGTAGGAAGACTATTTCTGTATGTCTAGCAATGTTTTTGAGGCATGGCCAAGTAGGCTTTAGGCAGCCTGGGTGTGGATTATGGAAAGAAGATAATCAAGAATCACCGCAAAGAGGTTTTTATTCTATCCAACAGTTTAAAGAATGATGTGGCTATTTACTAAAATAGGCATAAGAACAATTTGAAAGTGCATGCCAGAAGTAAGTAAGATAAGGAGCTCAGTTTCAGACATGTTTGGGGAGGTGTGTTTTTAAATAGGAAATTAGTTATGAGGGTCTGAAATTGAAGAGCATATCTTAGCTGGTGTCATCAAAATATTAGGACACTTCAAGTGGAACTTGAGAGGAACACTCTTCTTAGCAAAAGGAAGCAACTTTGGCATGAACTCTGGGGCAATGCAACATTTGATGACAGTAGCAAAAGAAAGAGAGGGGGAAGGAAATCTGTCTTTGGTGTCCTAGAAGATAAGTAGAGACAATGTGCTGAGAAGGAAAGAGAGAGCCACTGTTAAAACTTATGACAGATGAAGTCGTGTAGGGACCGAGGGCTATCCATTGGTCGTGAGATATGGGCTCTGGGGATTTTTTAAAAGAGTAGTTTACATAATTGCCCCAGCATGTGTAGACAGTGTCATAGTAAAACCAAATTTTTCTTGAATTAATAAACATGAAAAAGTGTGAGGCAGTAATGTAGCATCTTACAGAAAGAACTAGATTTTGTGAGTTTTGTTCTAGGAGGGAGGAAAGGTGGCAGCTGGGAGGTTATGTCAGGAGAGTGATCTCTTTCAAGACTGAGTGAGTGAATGCAAGGTGTATACATTGTTGATAAAAGTGATCCATACTGGTAACACAGGAGATGGGATAGTTAATGGAGCAGTGCCCCTGAGTAGGAGCAGAGAGAGAATACCGAGAGCAGAAGGTGACCCTGTGGAAGGTACAGGGACCTTCTTAAGAAGGGACATAGCAACAGGTAGGAGGGTAGATATTGTTAAATCAAACTCTTGAGGCAGATGGGTCTGTGAAATAAAGGGCTTATTTAGCTGTGAGAGATATTAGCCAAAAGTAAAAGCTGGTCCTATGACAGACAAATTCTCTAAGTCACCAGCAGTATGGTCAAATAGGACTTGTAAATGTGTCCACTGGAACTAAGAGACCAAGATAATCTATAATGAAATTCTGGGAGAAAAACACCAAATTATTTCCATGAGTCTGGAAAGGATGCCAGGCAGGATAACAGAGAAGCCCATGGAGAGCCGAAGAGTGTAGAAAGAGATTTTCCTGCCTGATTGGTTGGTTCCAAAAGCAGAATGTAGTGTGGTCTGATGACTTCCTCCTTGACATACAGGAAAGGAATATAGAATAGTTCTTCCTTTTGTTTTTTTTTTTTTTTTTTTTTTTTTTTTTTTTTTTTTTTTTTTGATGCTATGACTTAAATGAACTCACTTCTTTTTTTCCTTCTGTTTTCTGTTCTGTAACTTAATTTAGAACATTTGAAAAGTACATTCTCTCTGTGTACCACATCATGGACCAAGAATGAGGATAAATGAGGTGATACTGAGAGTGTGAACAGTGTTGAGTTTTGAAATTGTGATTTTGGAGAGTGTGAAGTAAGAAAATGTGGTATAATTGTCTCCTTGGGGATTACTTGAAATCAGTGATTGCAAATGAGAACACTGAGCTCTTAAAAGTTAGAGATTTAGAAGAGCAGTTTGGGTTCAGCCATACAGTGGTTGAGGATGCAGGAAAAGGGCAGCAGCAATGTGTTTCTTCTATCTTCCATCAAGTTGCTCTGAGTGGAAAACAGTGGACTTGAAAGAAGCTGGGGTAAATTCAGATCTCCTGAAACCCAGAACTTGTCGGTTTTGTTTTGCTTTGAATTTTGGTTTTTTTTTTATCCAGTAGATCAAAGGATAGCAGAGCACTCATTATTTTTTCTACTTTTGATTAATTAGACAGTATGAAAAAACTTAGTATCTTCTCTATAACTCAACTTTTGAAGATATAAATAGCAGTGTACTAAAAAAGTAAGGAGAGAAGTATCCTGGTCTTTTGAAGCCAGATTTTCCTAGAACACCATTGTATTTTTAATTATTGGTATTAATGAATTTTTAATTACATCTTTCACCTTTAGGACAAGAAAACCAGCTGGTGGCACTGATCCCATATAGTGATCAGCGGTTACGGCCAAGAAGAACGTAAGTGATTTTAAGATTTCTGCTTTTATTGCTCTTTGTATATTTTTACTTTCAAACTAGATATGAGTAATTACTCTAGTTAAGATATTTAAGAAGAAAATTATATCTAGTTTTATGTTGTACCATCTTACACCATGTGTCTTTCAACAAAAACAACTATTGCTTGAGGTGAGAATTTGAAAACTTCATGGCAACTTTATCTTCAGAAATCTGTTTACTAAGAGTTTTAAAATAGTGGCAGTAACATACACGTGTTCACAGGCCATTTTCATCAGGCATAGGAGATTCTGTGTTCACACTAACTATGGAATGATAGTGACTGCCCAAAGTATAATGATCACAGACACCTGAGCATGCTTAGCAGATATGTGGGAGTCTCTAATGAATCTAAGAATCCTGATATAGAAAGCAAATGCTCCACCCCTAAATAAAGCAAATGTTCTACCCTACACTCAGCAGTATTTTTGAGAATAACTTGTTGCAGAGAGAAGAACAGAGATTGCAGAAAACCCACAGTGGCCTTGAGAAGGTCAAAAGGGGCTGCGTACTCATATGGGCCAAGCCAACCTTGGCCCATCCCAGTCCTCAATATAGAACATGAGGAACATGAACTCAAAATAATGCTGAAAATTGAAACACATAGACAGACAGACAGACAGAGAGAGGGAGAAAAAAACTTAAGTATATGTAAAATTTAAACTATAGAAAGTATGACAGTAGTTTAAGTCAGACATTGAAAAGTTCAGAAATGAGATAACTGATTGATAGGAAGATGTGAAAAGAGAACCAACCGACCCATTAAAATATCTAGAAAAAATACTTTTTCTGTAAAAATTAAAATGTGCAAATGTGATACCCTGAAAAATGTGAAATTGAATAAGCATGTAAACATACAGGCTTTCTTAGTGTTCTATTGTTGTGAAGAGACACCATGACCATGGTAACTCCTATGAAAGAAACCATTTAATTGGGGCTTGTTTACAGTTTCAGATGCTTAATTCATTGTCATCATAGCAAGGAACACGGCAGGAAAGCAGGCAGGAGAAGTAGCAGAGAGTTCTCCATCCAAATGCACAGATAGCAGGAAGAGAGTTATGCTGGACTTGGCTTGAGCTTTTGAAACCTCAAAGCCTACCCCTAGAGATATACTTCTTCCACCAAGGTCACACTCCAAGACCACACCTCCTAATCCTTCTTAGTAGTGCCACATTCCCTGATGATTAAGCATTCAAATATATGAGTATATGGGGGCCTTCTTACTTACACCACCATACATACTGTCTTAGTTAGGGTTTCTTGTGTAAGAGTTGCTATGAAGAGACACCATGACCACAGTAACTCTTTCAAAAGAAAAACATTTAATTGGGGTGACGTACATTCTCAAAGATTTAGTCCATTATCATCATGGTACAACATGGTAGCCTGAAGGCAGACGTGGTGCTAGAGGAGGCAACAGGAAGTAATATGAAACACTGGGTGGAGCTTGAGCCTATATGAGACCTCAAAGCCTACATCTGGAGTGACACACTTACTCTAACAAGGCCACACCTACTGTAACAAAGCCACGCCTCATAATACTGCCATTCCCTATGAGTTTATGGGAGCCAATTATATTCAAACTACCATGCATACATAATAAATATGTGAGAAAAATGACAGGAAGGAAAGCAATTTAATTGCAACCCCACAGAAGCAAATAAGAGGTATGATATTAATTACCGAATGTTTACTTGAGGGACATATGTCTAGAATAAAAGAAGGCTCCATTCTATGTATCAGAAAGAGACATCCTCCCCCTGAAGATCATGGGCTTTAGAGGTTTAAAGAAGAAAAGCCCTTTGAACTTTGGAGCAAGAGACTCAGTTAATGAGTAAGGGATAGACGATCACATTGGCTCACTATTTCTTGGCCACAAAGCTTCAAATAAGCTATTGAATAAAATATTTAGCAATCATGGAATTAAAATCAGCCAAGCCTTGTGTAAACCTTAAGTGGCCTTTTATTTTAAAATTCACAGAGAGGTGAACAAAGTTGGGCCAGATTTATAATCTCAAAATGGAGAGCCTTTTCAACAGCTATTATTTAGAATCCACTAATAATGAAAAACCACATTTGACTTAAGTTTAGATAAACTTCCACAGGTTGAAAACAAAACTTTAATTGAAATCAAACTACAAGTGATAAACCAAGAAATAATGTCTGCAAATCTTATCATGCAGAGTACTGATCCCATTCTGTACAGATCATCAAAATTTGAAAAGAAAAAACCCAGGTACACAGAGGGGAATAAAAATAGAGGCTATGGAAAGTACCCCACAAAAAAGAAATATAAATGACCTTTAGATAAAGGAAAATAAATTCATCTTGTTCCTTAAAGAAATGCAAATGCAGTATACACAGAGATATCATTTCTATCAGATTGGCAAAAGCACAGAATTTTGTCAGCATGCTTTGTTGGCACTACTGAGTGAACACAAGCACTCTTGTGTCTTACTAGTTGGATAAGAATTTTGTATTTTCTAGCAAAACTACATAAGTCTTGAGGCTTTGGTGCAGAAATTCTACTTTTCAAATATATATATATTGACGATAGTTGTCAAATATAATGGAAGCACCCAGGCATGATGGCACATACCTGTAATCCGGTACCAGGAAGTAGAAGAAGAAAGATCAGAAATTCAAGGCCATCCTCAGCTATATACCAAGTTCAAGGTCTCTCTGGTCTGTGTGTCTTTCTCTAAGTTATGTAAGACCCTGTCTCAAATAACATGAAGCAAATGAGAGAGAGAGAGAGAGAGAGAGAGAGAGAGAGAGAGAGAGAGAGAGAGAGAGTGAGTGTATGTGTGTGTGTGTGTACACAAGTAATTATTATCCTCGGTGCGTAAAGATGTGGGACCATCATATGCATCATAGCTGAACTTCCAGAGTCTGCATGCCTACAAAATATAAATAAATAAATAAATAAAAGACTTCCCTCCCTAGCAGCTATCTACTGACTGTAACTTTACAGCTAGTATGGGAGCTCATATGCTCCTTCCCCACTGACAAAGTGACTCAGCTTGGAAAGGCCACTACAGTCAAAGCTGATGTTCTAAACTGGATTCTCTTTGGGATCAAGTGGTAGTATGATAGTGGGAGAGAACCCATTCATGCAAGCTGTTCTTTGACCTTCACTAAACAATTAAGTAGACTTTGTTGTGGAAATACATTCTGTCAATAGTTTTGAGAATGCTGAACTCTTTGTTTTATTTAATGAATTTTATTTAAATTTAAAAAAATAAAACAACCTAATAAAGTATAGGAAATCCAACAAAGTTAAGATGTTTGAAGACAGTGATTTTTAAATTCCTTTTGTGCCTATGATGTTTTTTGCCTATGGGTATGTTGCAGGCATCATAAATATGAGTTTGTTTATTGGTTACTTGGAGATCATTGTTACTGATCTCCAACCTTCCACAGTAAATGTGAGTGGGAATTGGCTAGTTGGCTGGTTTGCTCCACTCAGTAGCATGAACTCAGTTGTAGCAGTTTAGGGAAATTTTGTTCATTTGCTTTCTTTCTTTTTCTTCCTTCCTTTCTTTGTTTCTTTTCTTTTCTTTTTTTAGGAAACCAAAGTACCTAGAAAAATTATTAGGAAGTTTTTAACAGCTGTTTTAATGTGTATGCAGCTAACTTGATTGAGGCATAGGAAGTTCGGGGGAGGAGAGAGTGGTTAAAACACTAGGTCACAAGGAAAGTGACTCAGAATGAAATTGGCACTTAGTAGTGCCCAGGAAATATGAAACCATACTTTTGAGTGTAACCTTGAAGGAAAAATAAAAGACATTTGGATTACTTATCCTTTTTCTTTTATACATGCCTATTTCCACTGAGGTAACAAAACAGAATAACATCTCGCTGCTCAGTCAGTGAGTGTAAACAGTACTTTTAGAACTGAGGACAAGAGTACTTTGGGAGGGAGGGAGTCTGAAAGGACTGGCGATAATGAGGACAGGCAGCCAGTTCAAACCATGCTTTAGTGAATCCAGATAGAGGCCTTGATTCTGGATTTGTTAAGGGCCCTAAACTTGTTTCTAATGCAAAGTCTAGATTGAAAATCATTTTAATGAAGTAAATACTTCATTATAAGGTTAAAAATCTTATTTTGCAAAAAATGACAGTTTTATCTTCTAAAGAGATTATTTTAACTCTAAGTAGAACCAGCCTTAGCTAATAGTTTTTGAGTAAATTTGGTAAAATTAAACATGTCTTCTTGCTGCTATGATATGTAGCAGAAGAATTCAAATGGAAATAACTTCCTTACATGTTGCTCTATGTAATTTTAGATGGCACATATGTAAGTACTCTTTTTCTTTTCAGAAAGCTGTATGTGATGGCATCTGTGTCTGTCTGCCTGCTCCTGTCCGGATTGGCTGTGTTTTTCCTTTTCCCTCGATCTATTGATGTGAAATATATTGGTGTAAAATCAGCCTATGTCAGTTACGATTTTCAAAAACGAACCATATATTTAAATATCACGGTAAGTTCACACTTTTTCCTAATGCCTTGACTCTCTCCTTTGTGTTGTACAACCGCCTGTTTGCTCTGCTCTGAGAATGCTTGTTGCTGACCCATTGCTGCAATATTTTCCATGAATTTGCTTTTATTATTATTATTATTAATTTTATATCTTTCACATCCCAATAGCAACCTCCCTACTCTCCTCTAGTTAATATTCACTTATGAGTTAGTACATACCATGTTTATCTTTCTGGGTCTGGGTGACCTCACTCAGGATGTTTGTTTGGTTTTTTGTTTGTTTGTTTGTTTTGTTTTTGTTTTTCTAGTTCCAGCATTCAATTTTCCTGATGTCAATTTTTTAAGCAGCATAATAATAATCCATCATGTAAACGTACCATATTTTCTTTATCCATTCTTTGATTGATGAACATCTAGGTTGTTTTCAGTTTCTGGCTATTGGAAATAAGCCACTATGCACATAGTTGAACAAATGTCCTTGTGGTATGATTACATATCCTTTGGAAATAGGCACAAGAGTTGTATCCCTGGGTTTTTAGGTAGATTGATTCCCAGTTTTCTGAGAAACCACCATATTGATTTCCCGAGTGGCTGTTCAATTTGCATTCCCACCAGCATTAGAGGTGTGTTCCCTTTACTCCACATCCTCTCTAGCATAAACTGTGTTTGTATTTTTAATCTTAGCCAGTCTGACAGGTGTAAGATGAAATCTCAGAGTCATTTTGATTTGCATTTCCCTGATAGATAAGAATGATAAACATTTCTTTAAGTATTTCTCTACCATTTGCTATTCTTCTGTTGAGAATTCTCTATTTAGGTCAATACACCATTTTTTAATTGGATTATTTGTTTTCTGATGTCTAGTTTCTTCAGTTCTTTATATATTTAAGACAACAGCCCTTCATCAGATATGGTGATGGTAAAGATATTTCCCATTCTGTAGGCTCCCATTTTGTCCTATTGACAGTGTTTTTTGCCTTATAGAAGCTTACATGAGGTTCCACTTTTTAATTGTCAATCTTCATGTCTATGCTACTAGTATTCTATTCAGGAAGTTTTCTCCTGTGCCAGTGTGTTCAAGGCTGTTCCCTACTTTTTCTTCTGTCAGGTTCACTGTAGCTGTATTTATGTTGAGATCCTTGATATACTTGGTCTTGAGTTTTGAGCAGAATGATATATATATAAATCTATTTGCATTCTTCTACATTCTGATATCCAGTTATGCCAGCAGCATTTGTTAAAGATGTTTTCTTCTCTCTATTGTGCAGTATGTGAAGTGGTCATAAGTGTATTGATTCATGTCTGGGTCTTTGAGTCCATTCTTTGATCTACCTATCTGTTTTTATGCTGATACCATACTATTTTTATTACTATAGCTCTATAGTAGAGCTTGAGATAAGGGATGGTGATATTTCTAGCAGTTCTTTTATTATACAGGATACTTTTAGCCATCCTGGGTTTTTTTGTTTTTCTGTATAAAGTTGAGTATTGTTCTTTCAAGGACTGCAAAAAAAAAAAAAAAAAAAAAAAAAAAAGTGTTGGGATTTTAATGGGGACTGCATTGAATTTTTTGGATTGCTTTTTGTAAGCTGACCATTTTTTACTGTGTTAATCTTATCAATTGATGAGCATGAGAGATCTTTCTATCCTTTCTGTCTTCTGATATCTTCTCCAATTTCTTTCTTCAGAGACTTGAAGTTCTTGTCATCAAGGTCCTTTACTTGCTTGGTTAGAGTTACCCCAAGGTATTTTGTATTGTGAAGGGTGTTGTTTTCTTTTATCACTTGTATAGACGACAGCTACTGTTTTTTTTTTTTTTTTTTTTTTTTTTTTTTTTTTTTTTTTTTTTTTTTTATCCATCCACATCACTGATGGAATTGATCACCTCTAGGAGTTCTGTGGTAGAATTTTGGGGGTCACATATGTATGGTATGTCATCTGCAAAAATTAGCAATACTTTAACTTCTTTTCTAACTTTTAACCACTTGATCCCCTTTGTTGTTTATTTCTCTAGCTAGAAATTTGAGTTCTATATTGAGTACATATAGAGACAGTGAACAGCCTTGTCATGTTCTGGATTTTAGAGAAATAGTTTTGAGATTATCCTCATTTAATTTTATGTTGGCTGTCATCTTGCTTTTATTATATTTACATATATTCCTTGTATCCCTGATCTCTCCAAGACTTTTATCAGTAAGGTGCGTTGGATTTTTATCAAAGGCTTTTTCAGCATTTAATGAGTTAATCATGTGTTCTTTTTTCTTTTAGTTTGTTTATATGGTGGATTACATTGACAGATTTTCATTTGTTGAACTATCCCCTGTATCTCTGGGATGAAGCCTACTTGATCGTGATGGATGATCTTTCTGATGTGTTCTTGGATCCAGTTTGCCAGTATTTTATTGATTATTTTTGCATCAATGTTCATGAGAGAAAGTGGTCCGTAATTCTCTTTCTTTGTTGTATCTTTGTGTGGTTTGGGTATCAGGGTAACTGTGGTCTCATAAAAGGAATTTGATAATGGTCCTTCTGTTTCTGTTTTGTGGAATAATTTGAGAAGTACTGATATTAACTCATCTTTGAAACTCTGGAATAATTCTGGCCCTGGTATTTTCTTTGTTGGGAAACTTCTAATGACTGCTTCTTCTTCCTTAAGGATTATATTGTTTAAATTGTTTATCTGATCTTGGTTTAACTTTGGTATGAGCTATCTGTCAAGAAATTTGTTCATTTCTTTTAGATTTTCCAAGTTTGTGGAGTATATAGGTTTTTGAAATATAATTTAATGATTGGATTTCCTCTGTTGTTATGCCCTCCTCCTCTCCTTTCTGATTTGTTAACTTGGGTATTCCCTCTCTGCCTTTTAGTTATTTTGGAAAGTAGGGTTTTCTATCTTGATTTTCTCAAAAGAACCAACTCTGTTTCATTGATTCCTTGTACTGTTCTCTTTGTTTCTATTTTATTAATTTTAGCCTTCTGCTTTATTGTTTCCTGCTATCTATTACTCTTGACTGTGTTTGCTTTTTTTTTTTTTTGGAGCTTTGAGGTTTTCTGTTAAGTCACTAGAATGAAATTTCTCCAAATTTTTTATGGAGGCACTTAATGCTATGAATTTTCCTCTTAGTGCTGCTTTCATTGTGTCTCATAACTTTGGTTATGTTGTGCATTCCATTTCATTGAATTCTAGGAAGTCTTCAGTTTCTTTTTTCTTTGATGTGGTGTTAATTCAGTTGAGAGTGATTCAGTTTCCATGAATTTGTAGGCTTTCTGTAATTTGTTGAACTCCAACTTCGATCCATGGTGATCTGATACGATATAAGGTGTTGTTCCAACATTTTTGTATCAGTAAAGATTTTCTTTGTGACGGAGTATGTGGTCAACTTTGGAGAAGGTTCCATGAGGTGCTAAGAAGATGGCATATTCTTTGGTGTTTGGTTGAAATGTTCTGTAGATATCAGGCCCATTTAAATCGTAGTATCTGTTAGTTCTGCTATCTCTCTGTTTAGTTTCTGTCTGGATGGCCTGTCCTTTGATTAGAGTGGGTTGTTGAATTCTCTCACAATTAATGTGTGGGTTTCAATATGTGATTTTTAGCTTTAGTAGTGTTTCTTTTATAAATGTGGGTACCTTTATATTTAGTGCATAGATGTTCAGAATTGAGACTACATCTTGATGAATTTTTCAGTAATGAATATGAAATTCCATTCTTGATTTCTTTTGATTAATTTTAGTTTGAAATTTATTTTGTTAGATATTAGGATTGCTATACCAGCTTGCTTCTTTGGTTCATTTGGTTGAGAAATCTTTTCCAACCTCTGCTCTGAGGTAATGTCTTTGATGTTGAGGTGTGTCTTTTGTATGCAACCTCTACTCTGAGGTAATATCTTTGATGCTGAGGTGTGTCTTTTGTATGCAGCAGAAGGACGGATCCATTCTGTTAACCTGTGTCTTTTTATTAGCTAATTGATTCCATTGATACTGAGAGATAGTGATGACCAGTAATTGTTAATTTCTGTTATTTTTTGTTGTTGGTCATGGTGGTGTGTGGGTATGTGTATGTTGGTGTGACATTATCTATGTTTTTGTGGATGTAGCTAACTTCTTGAGTTGGATCTTTCCTTCTAGTATGTTCCGTAGAGCTGTATTTGTGGCTAGATATTAATAACATTTGACTTTGTCATGAAATATCTTGTTTTCTCCATATATGGTGATTGAAAGTTTTGCTGGGTATAGTAATCTGGGTTGGCATTAATGGTTTCTTAGAGTCTGCAAGTAATCGTCCAGGCTCTTCAGGCTTTTAGAGTTTCCATTGAAAAGTCATGTGTAAATAAGACAATTCTGATTGGTCTACTCTTTTCCTGTGCAGCTTTTAATATTCTTTCTTTATTCTGTATATTTAATGTTTTGATCATTATGTAGTGTAGGGACTTTTTTCCTGGTCCAGTTTGCTTCATGTTCTGTAGGCTTCTTGTACTTCAATAAGTATGTCCTTCTTTAGGTTGGGACATATTTCTTTTATGATTCTTCTCCTTCTCTTCCTTATTATTCTTAGATTTGGGCTTTTCATAGGGTACTAGATTTTGTGTTAGAATGTTTTAGATTTTACATCTTCTTCTTCTTTGACCAATGAATCTATTTCCTCTATCATCAATGCCTAAGACCCTCCCATCTCTTGTATTCTGTTTGTGATGCTTGTTTCTGAGGTTCCTGATCCATTACCCAAGTTTTCCATTTCCAGAATTCCCTTAAAGAGAGAGAGAGAGAGAGAGAGAGAGAGAGAGAGAGAGAGAGAGAGAGAGAGAGAGAGAGAAGAGAGAGAGCGCTTATTGCTTCTATTTCCATTTTCAGGTCTTAAACAGTTTTATTTGTTTATGTCAGCTATTTGTTATTTTCTTGTCATTCTTTAAGAGATTTATTGATTTTATCTAATTTTTGTTTATCTTTTCCTCCATTTCTTTAAGGGATTTTTAAAAAATATTTTCTGTAAGGACCTCCCTCGAT